CTGTTTCGTTGTATTAAATTACGCGCTATTACTTTTGAAAACGGTATGAATTCATCTACTCTCCTCAGCTATGGATTAAGTAGTGGTATTTGTTCGGGAAACAAAAATCTTTGTTATTCATAAAACAAATGAATGCAATATTCAGTCGCAAATAATACTATGATCCATAATAAGTTTCGATTTCATAATCCAAGGTTGTTATAAACCGTAAAAATACAAAACAATCTAATAGTCAATATAATATTGGCTAATGTAATATATATGTGTCTGTTTATTTGCATATGATATATTCTTATACCCTCCAAAGGTGTAGGGCGGGACCACAGCTTCAAAAGGCTAAGCTTTGCTGCTGTGGTTTCTGTAACAAGAATGTTTTTTTCACAGGATGCAGTTTCTCGCTCCATATCCGACCAATTTTGAATTCAGAATTTTTTTTCTCCTAGGCTGGCTACCAACCAAGTTTGAATTTGTTAATAATTCATGGGTTTTTAATTTTTACGGCATATACAAGTTTGCAGGTTAATTAACGTCAGAAAAAAATTTTAAATTGTAACAATTTTTTTGAGATACTAATGCTCTACTGTTAGAAATTCTACTAATTGAATCATACCTGGAGAAGTCGGAGATGTGAATTCATCACATCTTGCGCGTAAATGAATTTCTTATATTCATTTACGACTCGACGAAAATTAGAAAATTCAGCTCATTGACCAAATTTGCATTCTCGTTTAACCTGTGAGAACACCTGACTTCTTTTTCAAGGCATTTGAGATAAATTTATTTACTCCGATTCCTAAATTTTTAATCAATTGATAATTATTGCTCATACATTTCCAAATATATCCAGTCAAATTTTTATTCGCTATTACCGTATTAATAAGTCTATTAGTAGCCATTTTATTTCTTTTATTTGTTCAGGAAAGTCTGGGCAGAGGCTGCTTGAAATTAAATCATATGAAGTCTTTTTTTTTTTTGCCAGCATAATTAAATCTACTTCCCGTTCTTTTTCCTTTTACATTTTCTTTTTAAAGGTTATCTCCTAAAATGTTCATATAAAGAGACACTGACGGCAATCTTCCCGTTTAATTAGAAAACATCTATTGTCACAATCATGTTCTTGCATTTCTGGATTACTAGCTTTGTTTGTCACACTTTCTGCCATGTGAGGGTACAGCTATTCCTACGTTCTTCTAGTATATTGCATTTTTTCTTTGTTTTTCTCATAACACTGTTCTGTGTTAAATTCATTTTGTTCTATTCGGACACTCGTATGTAATCCTGGACTATATTTTTTATTCATCTTTCATAACTGTAGCATTCTGTGCAGTCAAATCATTTTCCTGATGGTTCACTGCATGAAAATAAAATCACGAACAAAATCAGCATATGAGTGACGTAGTTTGATTTTCCATCGCGCTGAAACACTTGCGAATGTGATATAATTCCGCCTATAAGTCTTTAAATTACATCCAGCCATCATGGAAACAGCAAGACATTTTTGGACAAGCCAGTAAAATTAATTTTGGTATGACGGTTGAGAAAATAAACCAAAAATTACATCTTAATGCTATCTATCTATCTATATGGCATGTTCCGTCTCTTCTCTCTCTCCACCTCTATCTCTACACACACACACACATACACACACATATATATATATACACACTGTAAAATATATATTGTATGTCTACATTGTCTCTACGTGTATACTTTATGTTTATATATATATATATATATATATATATATATATATATATATATATAGCATATTACGCCGCCATTACCCAAACGTTAAAGATCAGTACCAGATGATTGCATTGCTAGCATTGAGTCATTCTCGCGTCGGGGATAATGTGTATTTTTACTATTACATACATAAAAACGCTTTTATTTAGCATTATTTTTATTACACCAACGGATATATGTACGTATAACTCTCTCCTTCCCCTCCCTCTCCTCTCCTCTCCCTCTCCTCTCTCTCTCTCTCTCTCTCTCTATATATATATATATATATATATATATATATATATATATATATATATATGTGTGTGTGTGTGTGTGTGTGGTCAACGAGTTTCCCAGTAACCCTGGCAGTAATGCTTCCTTCTCGATCTCTGATTTAACTCCTTCTTCGACTCCTGTAATGCCACACAGCTCTGCCCTCTTGGTAACTCTGCTATTGGTTAACACCTTCTTTTACTCCCGCTCTAGCCAAGAACCTCCTACCAACATTATATCTTTCTGTTATCACGAACAGACTGAGACTCGTTCCGTGATATCATACGCGATGCCCCATGGGATGTGGTTTTTAAGGACTCTGTTCACAAATAAGCGTCTGAGGTCTCCTCCTGGATAAAAGCTGGCATCGAAGCTTTCATCCCCGGAAGAATATATAAATTTAAATCACGATCATCTGCTTGGTTCTCAGCTGCTATAGCTCATAGGAATCACTTCTTCCGTCTGTACCGAAGTGACACGTCTGATTGCAACAGACATCTCGTTGTCTCTGCCCGTAACTATTTGCTGAAAGAATGAAACAACGTATTGCATCTCGCAAGTTTGGTTCTAAAGATTAATTGGCGGCTTTGCAAGAGTGTGATAAACAACAGCAAATCCACAATACCTCCTCTATTCAATCAATTTGAAATCCTGACTTCCTCAACTGATAAAGCTGAATGCTTTGCTCGGAAATTTTCATCCAATTCAACGCTCGACTCATCTGGAGTACCCACAGCTTTTACCGCTAGAACCGAGGCTCTATTGTGTCCTCTCCAAACTATATAACTAGTGCCTCAATGACTCTTGTTTCCTAGCTTTTTAGAAGCCTTCATCTGTTGTCCCTGTTTTCAAGAACACTGGAGATCTTTCTATTAATCTTCTATCATTCTTCGGCAAAGTCTTCGAAGCTTTAATCAACGCCGAAGTGGTTAAGCACCTTACATTCCAGGATCTGCTCTCTGATAAGCAATGTTTTCTGCTTTGCCCTCTCTGCCGCTGACGTGCTCACGTCCATTATTTAATTTGTATAACCAGCACTTGACAATAACGGAGAATCTCGAGCTGTAGCTTTAGATATCTCTAAAGCGTTCGATATGGTTTGTCATGCCGGTCTTCTTCGTAATACGGCATTACAGGACGATTATTTGACTTAATACAATAATTCCTGTAAACCGTGAAATGAAGGTCGTCCTAAAGTGGTTCTTCTGTTGTTCCTTTCATACGAATGCTGATATCCCTCAAGGCTCTATCCTGGGTCCTACACTGTATCTGATCTTCAACGTTTTTTCTGATATCATCATTTCCCGAGTAGGCATCTACGCAGACGATAACACTATATAGTCCTGCCACAATAGTAAATCCAACATCGCTGTCAAAACTAACCTGGTCGTAGGGCTCGAAAAAGATCTCCAATTGGAATTTTTCTTGACTGCTAGACATTATTTGAAGTCGATGTAAACGTCCAATATCAAGGACAAATGGCCCAGTGGATGAAGACGTCATTTAGATCCAGTGATTTGAGCCAATGAGTTGTGAGTTAAACATCTGGACACGGCATTGGTGAAATGAACTTAGATAGTTGAGTTAAAGAGAAATAACGGATGAGGCATGACACGGGGAACTAGAAAAATCTACCTCGTTGGACGAAATAAAGGGTTCGGTTCGAAATTCCAATCACCTGAAGAAGGTTGGAGCGAAATATTGTGGCCGGAATGTTGCGAATATAGCACTGAATATGAGGATGGCAGTCCGAATAATGTAAGTTTACGTAGTTATACCATATGTCTGAATATATGTTTTGTTATGTTATATGTTACATAGCATAAAATATAACACAGCATGTTATATATATATATATATATATATATATATATATATATATTATGTTATAATATGTTGACTCGTGCTTATGGCACCGGTTCTGGAGGCATAACGAGAGATGACATATAAACTGCAAGTCACTGTTGGCAATGATTTAAAATGTATATTACTATGTATTTTTAAAAATAAAAACGTTACGTAATGCTACTGAATGCGAAGACCACGAACACAATGGTCAGCGATTGACTGAAGTGCCTCGTGGGCATTCTGACAGTCCTATATATTGCTTTTTGGGGGTTTTGAATATAAGTCTAAAACGGCAGGCATTCAACTGAGTATCTCAAGAATTGTGAAACGTCGATATGCATCCCACGCTCACGATTGCGACCGGCCAGTACCATCCAATGAGGAACACTGAACCAATGTGTGACATGCGTACCTGTGGCGTCATTCATCCTACTGCCACTTAGATTCCAAGCTGCCACAGTTGATATAACGAATACCAAAAGTTAATGTCCTTTTTCGTTGATACCGTTGTATCGATTAGCGTCGGGATCCTGTGACAACACATAATACAACATAACGTTGCCATAATATTATGATAACTTTGGAAATGGGCAGTCAAGTTGATTACCACATTGCCACAACGTCACGTATACACCGAAGTAAAATACAACACGTCTAGAACGTTGCCGGAATATTTTATGTTAGCTGTTTAATCTGGAAGACGAACTCGTTAACCATTGCGCTAAGATAAGCACGGTCTGTCGAAAATATATTTCACTATTATATAATGATACCTTTAGACGTGTTTTTTCGCCATTGCTGTTTTAAAGCAACGGTTCAACCATTAGACTCACTGGTCTTTCTCTGGTATAAATCGCATTGATTTGCCTCTCGCAAATGTATAATAGTAGTTACTTTGTCTCAGAAATAGAGACGAAACTATATTACACCAATTCACCTGAAGAGAATAGCAGGCTTGAGTGCTATGGAATTCGACATTTTATATTGGTCTTTTACATCGACTTCAAATAATGATGTCTAGCAGTCAAGAAAAATTACAATAGATTTAACTAATACTAAACATCGTCCCGGTTGCTCTTGATATTTATTTTTGATATTTTTTTCTGGTATTTAGAATTCTCCATTTCTTTTGTTTTGTTTTAATTTTGTTTTATATGTCTTTGTCTCATACTTCTGCTTTTTCTGCACCACCGTCAGCACTTCTTCTTCTTCTTCTTCTTCTTCTCCGCCACCAAATGCTCATCTCCCTCCTCCTTTTTCTTCAGCTCAAACTACTGCAATTCTTCTCCCCATCCTCCTTCTTCTTAAACTGCTTAATATTTCCTCCTCCCACTCCACCAACACCTTCTTCTTCTTCTTCTTCTTCTTCTTCTTCTTCTTCTTCTTCTTCTTCTTCTTCTTCTCCGCCCACCAAATGCTCATCTCCCTCCTCCTTTTCTTCAGCTCAAACTACTGCAATTCTTCTCCCCATCCTCCTTCTTCTTAAACTGCTTAATATTTCCTCCTCCCACTCCACCAACACCTTCTTCTTCTTCTTCTTCTTCTTCTTCTTCTTCTTCTTCTTCTTCTCTAACACCTGCTTCTCTTACTCCTATTATTTCTTCTGCTCAGACTTCTGCATTTCTCCCCTTCATCCTTCTTCTTCTTCTTATCCTACCTGATATCCCCTCCTCCTACTCCACCAACACTCCTCCTCCTCTTACTTCTTCTTCTTTTCAAGCTTCTTCTTCTTCTTTCACACCTATTATGTATTCTGTTTCTGCTCAACTTGCTCTGTTTCTTCTTCTTCTTAACCTGCTTTGTTTCTTTCCTCCCACTCTTCCAAAACATCTCCTCCTCCTCTTTCTTCTTCTTCTTCTTCTTCTTCTTCTTCTTCTTCTTCTTCTTCTTCTTTCACACCAATTATGTATTTTTTTTTTTGCTCAACTTGCTCTATTTCTTCTTCTTCACCTGCCTTATTTATCATCCTTCCACCCCTGCAAAACCTCCTCCTCTTTGTTCTTTTTGTTCTTTTACTGTTATATATAACCTTTTTTTTTCCCTCGGCCTGCTTTATTTCTTTTTTTCTCCTTCTTGTTCTTGCTGTTTTTCTTTTTCTTCTTCTTTTTCTTCTTCTTCTTCTTATTTGCTGAGATCTCCCGTGAGTCTTCATATTTCTTATCATCTTGTTTTTCTTTTATTTCTTTTCTTTTCTTTTCTTTTCTTTTCCATCTTTAACCAGCAATATTCAATCTTGATGGCAAATTACATTCAGAAATAGAACTGCACACCGCGAACGCGTCTTTCTTGACTGACTGAAAAGACGATTAGGTAAAACGAGATTTTTTTTCCAACATGACTTGAGCAAAATATGGTGTTTGATGCAAATAGTAAACATTTCAAGAGCCATGCAATGGCAAAAGCATCAAGAATGATTTCTTTACCAAGATCCCACCACATTTCACTTTACATTTGTACGAGCAGTCGTCTTTCCCTTTTGATTTGATTCGATTTGATTTCTTTATTTCTATTGCCACTACCTTCTAGAAAGTACAGAGGCAGCAAGTGCAATTTTTACTTTTTTAAATGCTAAAAGAAGAAACCATTTCTATTGCGTTTCACTTGACTCATCCGAGGCAAATAAGACGTATAGAAACATGAAAAAGAATCATGACAAAAAATTAAATATATATATATATATATATATATATATATATATATATATATATAAAAAAATATATCGCTTGAAAGAAAGGTGGCGAGGAAGATAATATAAGATTTATGGCATAACACGGGAGGAAAATCTAAGAGTGAACAATGGAAAAAGAAAAAAAAAACAGCTAAAATGGTGGATTTACAGTGAAACACCGAACTACTATTTATTAAAAAAAAAGATGAAAAACATGAAAAATAAGTGAGAAATTAATAGAAATCGAAGAAGAGAAATGCTGGGAAAACATGAGTCAGAAAATATATACACTAACGGAAATAACATTGTAACACCCTAAATAGGCATTTCAATCTATTTAACAATTAACAAGCTGTTTGCGTAACTGATTTACAGGGATTGATCGTGGACGTAGAACGTATCAAGAGAAATCGAATCCATTATGGCTTTATATAAAAAAATGCGACAAAAGTGAGGCCCTCTTTTATATATTTATCCTTTATTGAACAAAAATAAATTACAGAATTTCAAAATTGATAAGTTTTGTCGCATCGAAACAATATGATTAGTCATAATGTTGGGGCGCACCCACCTTCTAACTAGTAATGGACTGGTCCCTCTTATATAAGTCAGCTCTGGGGAGAGAGTCAGCGTGAGCAGCCCAGATACTTTTCTGAGCGACTGCTCGGTTTCAACTCTCTTCCTACGGGCGAGGAACCCGAAGGAGGCTACGCCGAAGGGCGGAGTCTCCTTCGGGAGGTTAACTGGCCCTGAACCCGTTTATACGGGTTCAAATAAGGCTATTTTTTGGCCGAGCCTAATGGCTCGGGAATGCCCACGTTAAAAAGGCCTTGTGCCACATGACACCCTCGTGGGGGTGACTGAATATCTGAGCAGCCCAGATACTTTCTGAGCGACTGCTCGGTTTCAACTCTCTTCCTACGGGCGAGGAAACCGAAGGAGGCTACGCCGAAGGGCGGAGTCTCCTTCGGGAGGTTAAATCGGCCCTGAACCCGTTTATACGGGTTCAAATGGGCTATTTTTTTTGCCGAGCCTAATGGCTCGGGAATGCCCACGTTAAAAAGGCCTTGTGCCACATGACACCCTCGTGGGGGGTGACTGAATATCTGAGCAGCCCAGATACTTTCTGAGCGACTGTTCGGTTCAACTCTCTTCCTACGGGCGAGGAACCCGAAGGAGGCCACGCCTGAAGGGCGGAGTCTCCTTCGGGAGGTTAAACCGGCCCTGAACCCGTTTATACGGGTTCAAATGGGTTATTTTTTGGCCGAGCCTAATGGTCGGGAATGCCCACGTTAAAAAGGCCTTTGTGCCGCATGACACCTCGTGGGGTGACTGAATATCTGAGCAGCCCAGATACTTTGAGCGACTGTTCGGTTTCAACTCTCTTCCTACGGGCGAGAGGAACCCGAAGGAGGCTGCGCCGAAGGGCGGAGTCTCCTTCGGGGAGGTTAGTTCGGCCCTGAACCCGTTTATACGGGTTCAAATGGGCTGTTTTTTGGCCGAGCCTAATGGCTCGGGAATGCCCACGTTAAAAAGGCCTTTGTGCCACATGACACCCTCGTGGGGGGTGACTGAATATCTGAGCAGTCCAGATAAGCTTACCCGGTACATACCGTTGGACTATAGACTTTGGATATTGTTTCGTACTAACCAACCTTCGTTCTACTAATCACTCTATTGTTAATTGCGTTTATGAATATACCAGTATTTTCCTCTACAACTGTGTTTGTCTTGATTCATACACCGACACGCGGGAAACTCACAACATCTCAACACATAATGAATAAACTATTTAACTGTCTCATTCCAGAGCTGAACCTTATCAGCAACAGTGTTACAAACTTTCACTGTCGAAACTGTTAAATATAGCAGTCTCTTCTACTCTAATAGCTTCATGTCTTTCACTTCTCGCCTGTGGAATTCCCTCGCCTTTTCCTGTTTCCCTTATAGCTATAATCTCTAACTATTCAAATGTAATCTCAATCGACGTCTCCAGTTGCCTTGATCTATCCCCTATCCTTCTCATCATTCTTTCCTCTATCATTCCTCTTCGCTCACGCTCCAACAATCTCTAACCTCTTGTGTGCTAGCGGCTTCCCGCTTTGTTTAGTGTGAAAGATTTTTTAAAAAAAATGACACATTTCTAAATTAATTTCGGAAGATTTGTCAGTAATTGATTGTTTTAATTCACGGATTGTTTTTGATATGTGGCTGTAAAAAATGTCTTTCAGCACATACCCGCAAGATAAAATCTGGTGGTGTTAAGTCAGGTGAGCGTGATGGCCAAACAGTTGATCCCTCTCGTAATATCCACGTCAGCTCGAAATTAAGTTTTACCCATTCCCAAATACGTAAGCCATAAGCTATTTTAAAATACTGAATAAATTTTGCTTCAATAAAAGTTAAAAATAAAAAGGTGGGGTTTCTTTGCTGGCCCATATATAACATATAATTGTGATATGTTAACAAGTGAGTAATAATGTATTATTCCACACATATACCTTTTGCTTCTATAACTTATGAGCTGTAAGGGTAACCGGAAGTGTTATTACATCATGTCTTGTACATTCGGGTTTTGGATAACAGATTGGGTTGAAATAATCAAGTGCTGACATCTTTTGCAAAATCTAATAAGGAGAAATTAGAATAAGCGCGGGGATAAAAAAAGAGACTAGGACTGAATCAGATTGGTAAAAAAAAGAATGTAGTTTATTTGAAGGAAGGTAGATGTTATGGAAATATAGTGTAATAGAATATATAAGAACCGACTCCAAATGTTCGTTTCTCAGCATTCGAAAATGACGAGGAAAGCCACCATGTTACACAACGAAAAGATTATTTGGTTTTCGATAATAATAATAATAGATCTAGTTAAGCGGAGAGATCAGCTATCAAACTCTGGTTATCTAGACTTTGGGAGGTGTTCACATAAACGTTTGTATCATCGGCTTATTGATATTTACTAAATGACACAAACGCACACACACGAGACAGACAGCACACACACACACACACACACACACACACACATATATATATATATATATATATATATATATATATATATATATATATATATATACTGGGGTAGATCGCTAATATAAAAAAAAGAAAGAGGATAGAACCGAAAGGTAACTTGCTGGAACGCCTGGACTAGCCTTTAGGTAACAATCTCTCTCTATAAAAGGCAGGATGTGTGTGTGTGTGTGTGTGTGTGTGTGTTACGAATGCATGGCCGCAATTTTCGACGAATTTGGACCAAAATTTACATGCACATGATCCAAGTTACCGGGAAGGCCAAGGCCGACTTTGCATTTCCCAACTCCCATCGATAGTTGAAATAATTGATTTTTTTCATGCTTCTACGGCAGTTTTCACGTAGTTTTCGGGCATTTTCTACTGGCCAGAGTGAGAGCCTATAGCTGGCTGCCACGAATAGGCAGTAAGATTCTATTGGTCAGCGTGAGAGCCAACAGCTGACTCGCTAGCTGTTAACTAGCATGCTAGCATGCAAAAAAAATCGATAGCTGCATTCGTCATAAGTGGGAAAATTTCAATCTGCATGGCACTTTACTCCAATTGGCTCATTCGCTTGCTTAAACTCAACGTTGATTCTGATTCCGCAGAACTGGGTTGGGCGTGAAAAAGTATTTGTTGTTAACAGTCTTTTTTCATTCGGTTCTTCCAGTTACGAGTCTTTTTTTAAAGCTGATCGTTTTGTGTTCATTTTGTTTAGTTCTTTTCTCGTAACAGATTTAATGTTTGGTATAGCGCTTAGAAAAGATTCGCAGTGTGAGATAGGCAAGAAGTAAGGCATCTAGCAACATCAGCAAGGCAAAGGGTCCTCCTTTAAAGGCAAGGAAGGGCAAAAATATTTTAAGTCAAGTGATAGCGATTGCTGTATGAGTCGTACGATTTTTGAATCAAGCAAGGGCAACGCCGGGCCATGCTGCTGGTTAACAATAAACTTTTATCAGTTAGGATAACACAAGAAAATTCACCCGGAGATTCCATAATTGTATTGTATCAAGCTATTCCTCACCTTTTCTAAAGACATTTGATATATCGAAGACGATCATTCACGTGATGAATTTATTGTCCTCTACGTTGTCATTACATGTCTAATAAAATCAACAATGATCTAGCTTAGTGAGATATGTATTGTTCACCGCTTACGTACTTGTTCTTACAGTTCATTAGAATTGAGTGCTTTTATAATCTTTCCACAGAAATAAATAAATGCGGATTGGTGTTGCCTGTTAACAGCATATTCCTATCTCCACTTTATTAACCATCTTATTGTATTAGCTAACTAAGAGTATTTAATAAGGTGAAACTTGAAAAATACACTTCTTAAATATGTTACTACATCTTGAGTGACGTAGTCTATTATTGTAATGGTAATGTAAGCCGTTTCCTTATTAAGAAACATTAGGCACTTATTAACCAAACCTGGAATCTCTTAAAAATCTATTGTCGATGGTGTCTGTTTCGGATACTGTGGAACGTCATATCTTATTTTTGTTATTATTCTATCTTCGGTTTACTGGTGCTACCAATTTTATATGTCCTTCAATTTAATAAAGTGTTAATTTATCCATGAATTCCTTCGGTATTTTATAAAAATAGTGTAGATTAGGATGCAGCGTACATCCTTCTCTTCCATAATACTGTAAAAAGGGACTGTTCTTACTTATAAATATGGCAACTAGATTTGAGTAGTTTATTTCTCAAGTTTTTCTATTCTATGTATGAGTATTAAACCTCTTCTTCTACATAGTCTTCTGTTCCTTCGATATTCACCCTAACTACGGCCTTCCTAATTCTCAGCTATTTTGAAAAAAGACAAATACTACAATACAAAATTAGAACAAAACTTAATAGCGCTTATTAATATAAGAGTCAGTGCATTTTCTTCTTTATTTTTTCTTTTAATTTTCAAATATAACAATTATCTAGATTTATTAGAAAGGGTGAGTTGATCTTTAGGCCACACATATTGAGGAAATCGGCCCTGGATTTTATTCAAAAAGTGAGAGCAACTTACCTACCAAATCTATTTGAATGGATGACAAAAATGGACAGAGAAGGAGATAAAAGTTACAAGTTACTTACAAGAGAGGGAATAATCTGAAGAGCAAAGTTTATTGCCATCCTAAAGGGACCTGGTGCAGAAGATTGTGAAGCAATGAATATATCAAAAGTAGTTTTTCTTGCTGATTGTTTTTCCTTGAATATGGCTCCGCTGTTGAATAAACTAATTGTAGATTATAACGATGTAAAGAATCTATTAGCTAATAATAATCAATGCTCTAGAATTTGCAAGATTTTCACCAATATCGAAATACTGGAAATAAACGATAGAATTAATTTTCTTTATTTGTTTATCACACACACGTGTATATATATATATATATATATATATATATATATACTCGACTCTCCCGTCGAATTCGACGTATGAGGGTCAAACCTGAGAGTTGATTATAGTGGTGAAGGTTTCGTGCAGGACCATCCACACTTTTTGAAGGGCCGAATACAGAGACTTGGTGCACTCCTACCACAAGGTTCCCAAACGACCCTCCCCAGGTTTTGAATTCAGAGTTGTCCTACTCCAGACCAGTTGCCATCTAACGAACCCAGTCTGTCCTAGGGTATTAGCACGTAAGTGAATGTAATGGATTCAACTGGAATTCGAACTCGGCTCTCCAATTCCTCAATCCAAGCCGCTATCCATTACTCCACCCTGCCTGCCTGCCTGCCTGCCTGCCTGCCTGCCTGCCTGCCTGCCTGCCTCTCTCTCTCTCTCTCTCTATCTCTCTCTCTCTCTCTCTATATATCTATATATATATATATATATATATATATATATATATATATATATATATATATATATATATATATATATATATATATAAAAAATGTGCAGTTTGGTATTTAAATGTAACGAATGTGTCCAGGTTTTGAAAGTCATTGTGATGAGCGCTCGTATCACGGAACTCGATGTAAATCATTTCACGAGTAAAATGAAATTAAAACTCTAACGTCATTCATTGAAATTTATGCTATTTTATAGTGAGATAGGTTTTATTACGAAGATTTAGATTTAGATTGATTCAAACAAGTACCGTTCTCTGTCCAATCAGAGAAAGCCTCGCAGTAAATAATGGAAGCAACAGATATCGAGTACCTTACTTTAAGTGTCAGTGTGGAAGGATGTCAGAAGATTTACAAAGATGGACGATAAAAAGACAAAAGTTACTTAGGGGAACAAAAAAGAGGTAGTTGTACATAGCCATGCGGGCCCACCATTGTGTAGAAATCTTTTTCATACCATTGTCCTTCAGATTGTCGGCCATCATGATTCTCCATAGATTTTTATTATGTGTAAATTACTCTATATTGGGTTGGTGCATAATTATCAGGCGTTATTGTAGGCGTGTTATTTGATAACAAAAATTGCTGTTTTGTTTCATTTTTTAATATAAATATTATTTTATTTTCAGGTTTTGAAAATTCGTGTCGATAATCACACTCATTTAAAAATGCTATGGTTGAATTGTTATATTTCATGTTTATAATAAATATTGTTTAAAAACGCCTAATAATTATGTACCAACAAGATATTTATGGATATGATAGTGGAATATATTCACGTGACCTTCGTATCCATTTTGAATTCTGAATTTTCCTCCTCTTAGACATGTTGCCATCCAAACTGCAGTAACCATCTATTCTTCTGGGGTGGGGGGTGGATTTAATCATTTACTGAGGACATAATTGCGCAAGCGAATGGTAAAATATCCAGTGCTGCATATATATTTACAAATTTTTTTTATCATAAAATAAACAGGTTGAGGTTTTTTTATTAATGGACGTTTAGGGAATGCATGTCGTGTTTATTGACAATATTTCACACGTAATTAGAGTTCAAAATGATCACACCTTACTTTCACCATAGCAGTTAAACTCTTTTCAACAGAATTCATCTGGATTCTTCACTATCATTTCGTGTAAATTATACAACGATGTCCTAACAGCTTGCTTCAAGTCTGACACACTTGAATATGAGATACCGGAAACAATGTCCTCCAACATGGGCCAAATTGCAATGTCCTCTGGATTTATATCAGCGCTTGATAGACGCCAAACTAACCTTTCAAAAAATCCACGGTGATATCTCTTACGCCATTTCCGCGTCAAATCGTTCGTGTGTGCAGGAAAACCGGCTTGAGTGACGACAGCGACATCCAAATGCTGTTGAAAACCGGGCGAAGAAATCTATTAACAAATTTGCTGTTAATCCCTGCTATTCACTTTCACTACTTTTTCAATGAACACCAAGGGTAATTTCGAACAAACAGAAGCCAGTCTAATGACACTAGTTAGATTCTGTCACATGAAATATGATCTGACACCCCCGTGATTTTTTTCTGATGCACTAACGTAAAGCCTATCTTTTTGGTAGTTGACCACAGAACCGAGAGAATAGGAATTTTTGTCTGGTCTAAACGAAGAATGTGCCTACGGCAAGCTGCATTTCTTCCAGCAGTTTTTCTTCTCACTGCCAAGTTCTTTCTTGCAAGCAGTTGTGGACATATAATCTTGTATTGATTCAATACTAAATCTTCTTTCACAACCCTCCTAAGCGAACTGTCGGAAATATCCAGTTCTTTCGCTATATTCATAATGCTTCTTCGTCTCGACTCCAGTAACAAAGTTATTTGGCAACTTGTCTATAAATATTATCATGGCAGCTACTCTCGTGAACGTTTTTTTTCTGGTGTTGCGACTACATGCTTTCTAGTAGATTATATCTAGGCCTCACCGTTTCATTGTTGAAATATCTAAAAGCATCCACCATTTCTCAAAAAGGTTCATTGTCTTGCAATTTCCATCTGTGGAACTTTCTTCTATTTACTTGCTTTCCTGATAACTAAAAAGCTCAAAAAATTTAATTAGACGTTAATCGGCATCTTCTGTTTTTTTGTTTTTTTAATTCCCTTCATCTTTTCATTCCCCTCATCTTTTTCTTCCACAACCTTCTCTATTCTCAGTCCTCTCTTTAAACTTGACTCGCTGTAACCCCTTGTGTACTAGTGGCATTCCCACCTTGCTTGGGGTAAAATGATTTTTAAAAGAGTAAAATATTTATCTCCACCATCTTCTTCACGGATTCAATAACTCTCCTGTTACGAAGTGAACGCCTTCTTCCTGGAATCAGATTTGGTAAGCCTGTTTACTCCTCTTGAAAGTTTTCGACTTATAAAAACAGTTCTTCTATAAATATCCAACCGTATAATTGCCTCACAAATCTTCATACAGTCATTTTTAATGTAACAATTTGAGAAAGTTTTATTTGAACCGCCTTATTTAATTAAAATCTGCGATCAACACAGAGGAATATTAACAAAACTTACGCAAAATTTGAAACTTTATTACGAATACATGTTCCAATGTATGATTAAATAATGGGCAAATGTTCGTTTTTAAATAATAGGTAAATATTTATGACGCAGGCAGTAATACGGAAAATGAAAAAAATATAAGAACCGATGAAGAGTAAAATGTCATCCGGTTTCAAAAGTCAAACGCCTTTATTGCGACTCGTAATGTCGACTTTGTCACAGCAATCAATATATACATCCAAGAAAGTCATGCTTCCTTTCAGGGTGTTACTTCGATATTTACGGAATAGATTGTAAGGCGATAGAACTACATTCTGTCACGAAAATATGTGGTCGACAAGCTGCTCAGCCAGTGAGAAATGAATTTCTTATACTGATTCCCATTGCAAGGTCCGGCAGGTCCATCCGCTGGAGCGCAAATGATGTGATAAACCGATTGCCAATGTCCATTGGCGTCTGGAATTCGAAACGCGTTCCGCAGGATTTGGTCAGTGCTACGTGGCTGCTCGGCGTGACCCTAAACATCTCTATCCCTTAGAAACTAACAAAAGCAGCTGCTATATTAGGAAAAGCTTATTTGACGATCTAGCGGACAGTTAAATTGGGTTGTCAGGATGAATACCAGCACATGCCGGTAGGATCAGAAATTCCGCTGAAAAACTGCTTAAGAGGGAAACTTGAGAAATTCTCACTGTCTGTCGGTCCAGCTATCTATCTATCTATCTATCTATCTATCTATCTATCTATCTATCTATTGATCGGTCGATCGATAAATCTGCCGGCCTATATATAACAGTATAATACATCCTCTCTCACTTACTATCAACGTATTTGGGTTTTTTTCCTTCCATTCTGTCATTATATATATATATATATATATATATATATATATATATATATATATGCATGTGTGTACATACACATACATATATATAAATATATATATATATATATATATATGTATATGTATATATATATATATATATATATATATATATATATATATATATATATATATATATATATATATATATATAGATAGATAGATAGATAGATAGATAGATAGATAGATAGATAATAATGTTTGCGTATACGTATTAAACAATGAGTGGTAGGACAAAGAAATAAATAATAATAATAATAATAATAATAATAATAATAATAATAATAATAAATATAAAAATGGAACAAAACAACACATTGAAAGAATCCCTGAAAACCCCAGCTTAAGAGACATACAGAAAATTGTCTTATTAAGTACAGCACACACACTAAGGAGAACTTTGTCTATGTAACGCTAGCAACTTCATCGGAGATAAAAAAAAAAAAAAAAAATTAACATGAAATGTGGCCATAACAACACACCACGACCTGCCTTAGGTCTTTCCGCAGACTTGGTAGGTAGTGTGTCCATAGCAGAAATCGAATGATGATGATGATGATAATAATAATAATAAATATAATTGTACGCCAATTTTGACACATCTGATCCGTGTTTTCGAAATTTACAATTTTGAATATGTTCTCGTCCTATTATTATTATTATTATTATTATGGTTATTATTATACTTTTCTAATTACTTTCTATGAGTATTAATTGAGCATCTATTTTAGTCTATCTATGTATCTATGTATCTATGTATCTATGTATCTATCTATCTATCTATGCGTGATATGTCTTGGCAAACGTCAATCATTTCGAAAAATACTGCTTATCGAATGATATCTCCTATTGCTTCCAGGCCACCACGTGCTAAATTTGACGCGTAGATAATTTTACCGCTTATGGTGTATATATATATATATATATATATATATATATATATATATATATATATATATATATATATATATATATATATACAGTAAATGCTACTAAATATGGATTTTTTCCTCCACTAGTTCTTTCTCTCTCTCATATATATATATATATATATATATATATATATATATATTCCTTAGAATTAACTGGAATCCTACTTCCGTTACTATTTTGCGTTAGAATTTTTATTTCATTTCATGGAGTCTGTGTGGTGGGGATGCGCGCGAGTAATTTACTTTTTAATTTCTTGCATATAGAAATTTTTGAAATGCATTTTTCTTTCTGACTGTTTTATGCTAATCTAGTAACAATTTTCAAGCATTTGGGTTTTGCTATTGCATAGTGTCTGGGAATTGCAGAGACTTAAACCTATTTTTTAATCACCAATTGTTTCACAGCCATTTATGGCTTTCTTCGGAGATAATGCGATGTATATTCGAGTAATGGATAGCACCTTGGTTTCAGGAATCGGAAAACAGAGTTCGAATTCCAGTCGAATCCATGACATTCACTTACGTGCTAATGCCGTTGGGAAATGTATGAAACCTCTTCTTCTCCACCCCAGCTATGTTTCTATAAATTTAGATGGCAACCAGTCAAGGAGAATGAAAAACTATGAATTAGAAACCCTCCTTGAGATGGGTGGGTTCTTTTAAGTTTTCCTATTTATGAAAAAAACTCAATCTACTGTGGCTGTAGACTCTACGGATCAGGGGATAAAAAATGTGCTTGCATTTTTTTGTTTCTGTGTAATATATATGTATGTCTATGTATATATGTTTTCGGAATGAATGGATTGATCGTCACGTGTGCAAGTGGTTAGAATGTTTGCCCTCTGGCCACGTGAACCAGGTTCGACTCTCGCCATGTTTCTATAACTTTTAAACGTGTCTTCAAATAATCTTTTCTTTGTTCGCTGAAAGAAAAAATCACTGTGTAGCCCCTAACATGTTTGGTTCTCGCGACTAATGGCTAAATTGTAATAATGTGTTAAATATGAGTAAATATTTATCTATAATCTCTTCACTCAATTTATGGTGTTATGTTTTTTTTTTGTGTTTTTGTTTTTTTTTTTGCTTGTAATTTCTCTTCAAAATATACTCTTGAATAAAATTTGCCTGACTTTCCCCTTATATGTGGTGTGCATATAACTCCATCCATGGTCTCTGCTATTATCTCTAAGCTTGATCCCTACAAATAATCTGGACTTTATGGTATTATTGCAACACTCCTTACAATATGTGCTCCTGAACTGGATCCTGTTCTCTATAAATTTGACGGATGGCCTCACGATTGCGTCTAGCAGGAAACAGCTTGTCACATTTGAGTGTTGACTTCAAAATTCAATTTTATATTTATATTTACATACGCTCCATCTCTGATATTGAGCACTTTATCCAATAAATATAGCACACCTTAAAACTATATTTAGTCATATATATATATATATATATATATATATATATATATATATATATATATATATATATATATATATATATATATATCTCCAGTCTCTATCCTTAGACCAAACGTATTCTTACTTTTCATCAAAATCATCCTGATGTTCTCATTTCACAATTCAGTGTTTATGCCGATGACACAACAAATTGCTCCTGTCTTAATAGTAAGTATGATCGGTTCGATAAAGTCAAATAGCTGATTTATAAGAATTGCTTTAATCTGCTGTTAACCGGCGAAAGAGCGGCTTTTTTTTTAATTTTACCGATTCCAAAATATAACTGCTCTTTTTTAATAGTCTGCGAGAACGTTTTTCGCTTCCAATTGCATAGATGATGCCGTTTCTACATTAACGTCCTTATTGAATGATCGAGATATGTGAATTTTCTATTGTTTCCACATGAATTAGTTTAACTGGTTTCATCCCAGTTGTTGGCGTCGAATACTCGGAATCAACGCGGGAATCCATGGAAGCCATGTAGAAATACTGTACCTTACTCCTTTTGACTAGTTACACGTCTACTTATCATCACTCAGTTGCGTCTCTGTCTTTGGACAGAGTGTGCACAGGGGCTTCTCTGTCAAAGGAGAGAGGGGCAACTGTGAAAATTATACAGAGAGGTATCCAATTATTATTTTCATTATTCGGACTATTGTCGCCATATTTTTTACAGCGTTTCGGCCCTTCAGTATCTGTCTATATTTCTGGGATGGGGTATTATGTACCCTGGGGAACAGCTTCCAGAGGCCGCTCCCTCCCATTGCACCGGAGGGATGGATTGGTGCTCGCACCGAGGCCAGCGCAACCGACTGTTGCGGAGCTGAGGGGAATTTTTGAACCTGCCCGTGTGCACGCGCTCGGGTCCCCACATTTATCCGACTTCGTGTCACATCTCATTCTCGTGGGGAAATGAGTAAACATCGTGACGCATATATTTTTCTTACTATTTTTGAGTAGTTACACGTCTACTTATCATCTCTCAGTTGCATCTCTCTCTTTAGACAGAGTGCTCTCAGATGCTTCTCTGTCAAAGGAGAGAGGGGCAACTGAGAAAATAATACCGAGAGGTGCCCAAACCTGGGGAACAGCTGCCCGAGGCCGCGCCCTCCGATTGCACCATAGGAAGGGATCGGTCTTCGCACCAAGGCCAGCGCAACCGACGCTTGTGGGGGCTGAGAGAAATTTTTGACCCTGTCCTGGGCATACGCGCTCGGGTCCCCACCTAAAAATAGACCTTGTGTCGCATCTCGTCCAAGTGGAGGGACAGAGTAAATACCGCGACGCAGAAATAGGTGAGGGAAATCAGAAAACCAGAACTGAAGAAGCAATTATCATCTTTATGTTGGGTTTGAATAGGTCAGTAGTTCCTGTTATTTTTTTCTATGGTCTGCATTTTCTTAATGAAAATTTGACGGGCCTCACGAAATTTTATGTGTTAAAAAGTACACAAAATTAAAAAAAAGTAAAAAATACAGAGAGAGAGAGAGAGAGAGGGGGGGAAAGAGTTAAAGTGAGATAAATGCAAATTCTAACTCAGATCATTATCATTAATATTTCCCACCTTCATTATGCGGAACCTATTTACTGAGGTACCTCTAAGAAATGTAAACAAAAAGAGCATAGCATGATGAAAAAGATGCCGACCTTGACGAAAACAAAATTTTATCGTTTAATGTTCATATTATTATTAAAGAGGAAAGATCAAAGTATTTTGGGGGTATTTTTTTTACATTTTTAATCGTTCCTAGCACGTCCGAAATTTTCGTTAAAAATCTTGTTTTTTTTTTTTTGTCAAAAAAAAAGAACAGATAATCCATCATTTTCAATCATTTTTTTTCCATTTTATCAAAAAGATGAAAATCTCACATTGATATTCTTTTAAAAATCAATTATCACTTTTTCAAAACTTATTTTAATAGATTCAGAAATTATAATGTTTATTTAAAATATTTTGAACCAAGCTTAACTTAGCTTCTGCGCCGAAAAAAATATAATTTGAAAATAAAACAAAGCAGATCATAACGTTTCGCGTCATTTGACAGGTGACGAAAGACATTTTCATGACGTTTAGATAATTACGGGAGGATAATTCTTTCTACGGATGAAAGGAAGTGAAATTATTTAGATTTATGCGAACAAATTATTTACCTCGTTACTTTTCAGGAAAACTTTCAGCGCTCTAATTTTTTATTTTTTATTTTTTGTACTTAGCTTTCATCTTTACGTTTACGATGCTTTATGGAAAATATAAAGAAATTAAAAAATAAGACTGTTAAGAGTGAGAATAATATAAAAATAAGATCATATAAATTAAAGTTTAGCAGAAGTTAAATTTCATAAGATGATACTGATACTTATAGGTACCCTTCTCAGTTGAAATTGAAAAATCAAATTAACTCCCCATACGTGTTTCGCAAAAGTAAAGGCCTTAACAGCGGAGAACAATGCTGAACTCAAATAATGCAACTAAATTGTATTCTGGTTGGTCTTCCGTACTTAATAATTACCGCCCGATTATAAACACAAAATTACATTTTTTAATTACTGCGGATCTTCTGATTGGTCCAAGTGATACAATTTTCATAGCGCTAGACAATAACAATCTCATAAGGACACTTAGAAAAGTTGACGTGGCTTTTAACTAATGCTATAATATTTTTAAAAAACTTAATGTAAAAATCTATTATAATTAAAGAAATAACAAATAATTGTATTATAAATTCAATTTTCATTGAAAAAAGTTTTTGCTTTCAAGAAATATTGTCCATATTCATAAAAACAACTAAAAACAAATAAAAGCATGTGAAATTAAATAATATATTTGTTTTATCGAGTTTTGTATGTTACAATTCAGAGCTGATTTTCAGGTACCGCAGATCCAATTAAAAAACAAAAACAAACATGATTTGCATTGTTCAAAGCCTTGTGCTTTTAACTATGGTAATCACTAAAGTTGATGCGCTCGAATTTCTAGAGTTTTTCATAAAATTAGTTATGGGGGTGTTAATAAATATAAAAAATATTTCTGCCATGACTTTAATAAAAAAAACAAACATATTTATAATAATTTCGATCATCTGTGAATAGTTTCTGAAAGTTTCATTAATATCTGATGATTATTTTTTTATTTTTGCAAGATTTTCCAAATTAATGTGTGTAATACAAAAAAAAAACGTGCTAAAAATTATATGTTATTCACTAGCCCCTGTTGGTACAAAGAGAAACAAGGTTTTTTAATCAAAATCTAGAATGTTCTAAAAAGAAGGAAAAATTTTTAAAAATAATTAAAGAAAACCTTGGTCTTTCCTCTTCATAAAAACATAAGCATTTAGACGATAAAATTTTGTTTTCATAAAGTTTGCCGTCTTTTTCATAAGACTATGCTCTTTTTTTTAGCGATTTCGTGGAGGTACCTACATTCTTAATACTTGATATAATTAAAGAATATCAAAATGATAAAATAGGCCAATAATTATTTATAACTAT